AAAAACCACGGCTTTGAGAAGAGCAACTGATATCACTATAGCAAGGAATTTTATACTTTGTAGGTCTGAGTAAAATACTCAAAAAACCATTACAACACTCAAAAAAAAATAACCCTCTTTTAATATTCCCACCTCACTACAATATCACTCACACTATTTTTCTCACAGAATATTTTCTAATATCTTATCTGTGAAACCTCACTCTTTCTTTCTAACTCTCAGATATATTTTTCCTCTGAGATTGGTGTGTCAAAAATGAGAGCCGAAACTCTCCTTTTATAGTAGAACCTCACCTATTACGCTTGATATTTTTCTCCATATTTGACAGATGCATTAGGGAAACATGGGCTGCTAGGGTTGGACCCCACACTTACATTATTTTATGCTCTTGAGCCGATGTAATCACGTTTTATTGCAAACAATAAGGTTTGATATTCTAATGTTGACAAGTGTAATATCTGGTCATTTGCTATAAAAGCTGAATATGTGGCTCACTTTTCTTGAAGCATTCGTCAACAATGGATCTTAGGAGGTCAGGAAACTACAAACCTAGCATTTGGGAAGATGGATATGTCCAATCACGAGCTACATTTTACGCTGTAAGTCCGAATTAAGAAAAAAAATATAGTTTGCTGCTCATCTTCTGTCTTTATATATTTTCTAACCAATTTAACATATATACACAAATAGTATTTCCTTAACATGCTATTTATTGTTCTTCTCTTGTGTTACTAAATAAGATAATATATATACTGACACTGACCTGTTGTTATGAATCGTCAAACCTGAATGTATAAAAAATTGTACACTGTCAATCAATCGAAGCTAAACCCTTATGAGAAAAATAAGTTTATATTATCAACTGACGTGACAATTACTTCTTTATCATGCAGGAAGAGAAACATTTTGAACGAGCTGCCGGACTAAAAGAAGAGGTGAGGAGAATGCTAGGGAAAACGATCGACCCATTTGAACAACTTGAGCTTGTTGACATTTTGCAAAGACTTGGTTTGTCCTATCACTTTGAGGAAGAAATTGATAGAGTTTTGAAGCAAATGTACGTTAATATTTATACTACTAATAGAAATGATGGGCAGAAGAGTGAAGATTTGTATGCTACAGCTTTAGAATTTCGACTCCTCAGACGAGAGGGCTATCATGTCCCTCAAGGTACTTCAAAATTTCTTTTACGTTTTCTTTTACAGATTTCATCTCTTAATTTATAATGCTGCTAAATTAATCCCCTGAATCAATCTCCGAGAACTTAACCAAATAAGATAAATTAATCAAAAAAAGAGAGAGGTAAAGTTACAAAATAATTGTGGAAAACATAAAGTTTTTGCACATGTCTTCTTGCATCCACTACCAGAAAAATAAGGTTGTCTTACGTGTCAGACAATAGCTAAAGGTGTATTATCACTTTTAGCCCGTGTCAGAAACTATTTATATTTGGTAACCCAAAAAGTGTATAAAATTTGTATAATTTTTGTATAGAACATATAGAATGCATATATATTTGGTTATTATTTTAAGAGCGGTTATACAATGTCATTTTCCCATAGCTAAAGAGTCTTTTGAGAGTCGTCACTACAAGTCCATTTCCGGTAGTTAATCGACACCTTATCACTTAAAAATTACACTAAGTATATAAGAAAAAAAATATTATGCATAAATTATGTTGAATCTTCTTAACTTCTTTGTATATTTACTTCTGTTGGTTTTTTAAAAGACGGGGCAGCAAAAAAATTAAAAGTATTGATTGAAAAAGTCTCTCAATAATTTTATTAAGCATACCTAGGCTTTAAATAGCCAATTAGGAACATAATCTGCATAGGAGGAATTTAAAAATTCCAAAATATCTCAACAAACCTAAAAAATCCAAACGAAATTTAATTCAAAAAAGTAGATTTATCATAAAACTAAGTAACTTATTATGCTAAAAAAGTTAATGAAAAGGAACAAAATTTCAACACTTCTCCTTTACTTCAGTTGATGCAATTAAAAAAGTTGCTCCTCCTCAATTCTTGCTTCATTGTTTGTCCTTGAGGATTGTTTTGAGCATCGCTAAAATTGCACGCTTTTGTAGTGCAATTCTTTTTCTTTTTTTTCTTCTTTCTTTTTCGCCTTATGGTTTTGTGCATGAACAACACCCTTAGTGACCTTGTCCTATCTAAAATCTCTTTTGAAAGTATTTGATTCTGGATAATGATAGGATTTTCAAGGATTGCTGGTAAGGATTATTCTTCCTTTACAACATTCAACAAATCATAAGTTTTAAGATATGATTTTATTTTCACTGAGCAAATTCGATAGTAATCGTCAGTGAAAGTTTGTGGGGCATTCAAAGAGGGATTGTTGCTTGCCATGTTTGAAAATGAGTTTAAAAATTGATATTGGTTAAAAATGATTTGGAAATAGTTTTTTTGGAAGAACTCACAGATCCCGTAAGATCAATGAATCTTTGATACCATTGTTGGTTTTTTAAAAGATGGGGCAGCAAAAAGATTAAAAGTATTAATTAAAAAAGTCTCTCAATAATTTTATTAAGCATACCAAGGCTTTAAATAGCCAACTAGGAACATAATCTGCAGAAAAATCTGCATAGGCAGAATTTAAAAATCCCAAAATATCTCAACAAACCTAAAAAATTTAAAACTAAGTAACTTATTATGCTAAAAAAGTTACTGCATTAACGGAAAGCAACAAAATTTCAACAACCTCTTTATGGTACCCGTTAGTGAAAATCTCGACTCTGGCAAGTAGTTTAAGATAGCATGATTTTATGTTTGTTCTTATATAGATTCGTTTCTTCTTTCCAGAGATGTTTTGCACTTTCATGAATAAGGAAGGGAAGTTCAAAACAAGCCTTGTTGTGGATACTAAAGGACTGTTGAGTTTGTATGAAGCTTGCTATCTTTCTATGGAAGGTGAAAGCATTTTGGAAATAGCTCGAGATTTCGCCACTAATTATCTCACGGAAAGCCTTAAGAAGAAGATAGATGAGAATCTTACTGAGCAAGTAAGCCATGCTTTAGAAATGCCTCTGCATTGGAGGATGCAGAGGCTAGAAGCAAGATGGTTTATAGAAGTTTATCACAAAAGAGAGAACATGAATCCTCTTCTACTTGAACTTGCAAAGTTGGACTACAACATGGTACAAGCTACATACTTAGAGGAACTAAAAGAAATGTCAAGGTGAGATATGGCGCTTCGTACGTTAGAGGCATATTTAGACATTGTAGGTTATAAGTTGAGGGAGTGAGTATTGAATTAGATATCCAACTATATATGCTTCTCTATCGAACCTGCAAACTCATGGCTAGATCCACCAGTGTATATGAGTTTGGAAGTGGCACAGTGTTGAATACACACAAAAAAACGATTTAATTTTGGTACTAAATACTTTCAATCCTGAAAACTTTACTCGACGATATGTTTTAATCTGATTATAATGCAGGTGGGATAAGAACATTAAACTTGTCAAAAAGATGAGCTTTGTTAGGGACAGATTGGTGGAGGGCTTTTTATGGGCTGTTGGTTTCACTCCTAATCCTCAGTTCGGATACTGCCGAAAGTTTTCAACAAAGATGTCTGTACTCCTCACAGCAATTGATGACATCTATGATGTTTATGGCACCATGGATGAACTTGAGCTTTTCACTGATATTGTTGACAGGTTTGTCCACATACTTTAGACCTTTTTCCTCTATCCCGACTGTTATAATGTCATGTCATCTAAAAAATAATTATAGGTAACCGTCCAAAAAAAGTAGGGTAAATGGCCTGGAAAATAAAATAAGTTACCTGCTATGAATATATTGATAGTGTAAAAATTCTTGACGCTATCAGTGTATATAAGTTAAATCCTTTTTTTTTTCACTTCATTTGGATGGTCAAGGGGGTGGGTTGGACTGGAATGGAATATCGAATTTATTTTTGATGAGGGGCATAAACTTATTGTGGTTACATGTTCTGAAGATGGGACATCAATGCAATAGAGCGACTACCTGACTACATGAAAATCTGCTTCCTAGCTCTCTTCAACTCCATGAATGAACTGGCTTATGATATTCTCAAAGAACAAGGCTTCAGCATAATTTCACATATAAGGAAGCAGGTTAGCAAATTTTTCTTCCCTGTAATTTATCTTGAATTTCTGATCTCCTCTTCTCTTCATTCTTACTGACTTATACATTTGACATTTTTTCGTACCAAATATTTCAGTGGGCTAACCTATGTAAAGCCTACTTACTGGAAGTGAAGTGGTACCAGAGTAGATACACACCAAGCTTGAATGAGTTCCTGAGAAATGCATGGATAACAAACACTGGTCCTGTACTAATAATGCATGCTTATTTTTGCATCACAAACCCCATAAAGGAGGAGGAACTGGAATGCTTAAAGAATTATCCTGCTATTATTCAATCGCCTTCACTAATTCTTCGTCTTGCAAATGACTTGGCAACTTCACCTGTAAGCTATGTTTATATACGATTTTCTGTGCAAGGTCAGTAAGTTATAGTATGATCTGTTACACAAGTTATTTCGTTTTTTTACCTTTGTTCAGGATGAAATCAAGAAAGGGGATTATCTGAAATCAATACACTGCTACATGCATGAGTCAGGGAGGTCTGAAGAAAATGCTCGAAACTATATAAAGAAATTAATTGATCAGACCTGGAAGAAGATGAACAAAGATATACTAAGGGGCAGCTCTTTCTCAAAGGATTTTAGAACTGCTGCAATGAATCTTGCTAGGATTGCTCAATGCATGTACCAGCATGGAGATGGATTTGGAATTCCAGATCGTGAGACAAAGGATCGGATCTGCTCCTTGTTCTTTGAGCCCATTCCTCTGTCATGAAATGACATACTTCAATTTGCCTGTTTACACATGAAGCTCAATGTAAAAGAACTAAATATATAAGAATATCTGTTTTCTATATCCAGATAACTTGTATATAGTCCCCTCCATTAAATAAGGCCTTGGAAGAGCATGGTACCGCAACAAATAGTTACATGCATTATCACGAATCTCCAACGTTACATTACAATGAAAGATGAAAAAACCCTAAAAGAACAATCAAGTAGAATACAAGCATCCCCAGCCAATTCTAAATTAGGGGATGAAGTACTATAATCTCATTCTCAAAAAAAATAGTTAAGAAAGAATAATTATACATGTCACCATACAAAGCACATCATTAGGGCATTCAAATGGTTTATAATGTTTCGGTTCTTCCAACACTCACTGAGCTCATCTATTGGAATGACTTAACCAGCGTACATGAGAGAAGTACCTGGTCCATCATTCCAACTCTTGTCATGCTTATCGTTGGTTTATACAGTGTAAAAACCTGTCCAAACACAAACACTATACCAGCTTCACAGTTATGAAGCTAAAGCGCTCAACTTCTTTTCAAACATCTTAGCCCGTCGAAGGGCGTCCAAGGCCTCTGCCTGCTTTCCGGAACGTTTCAAGTTTAACGCCTTTAATTTCTCTGCCTTTATCCGCTCTTCCAAATACTTCCTCTCATTGGAAGATTCATCAGATACACCTGCTTCAGATAGTTTTGGCTCTGGTCTTTCAAGGATTTGAGAGGCAATAGTGCCAGTCCTATCAGTATTCACAGTTAAAGGTTTTTTCATTTCCTGTCTTTCAGGGCCTCGGGATACAATAGCGGTATCTGCAATTCCAATTGCTTTTAAAGCAGAGAAAAGCTGAGGATCAAGAAAATCCTCAACACTGACATCCTCTGCTGATTCAGCTGTGGGGTCAGAAGACCTCATTGTATCTTGCGAAGACACTTCTTCCAACTGGCTCTCAATAGCTTTTGCCAATTCAAATTCAGCATCGGCTTCTTCAGTCCTACCTTCCCTTCGTAACTTAAGTGCTTTTCGTTTGTGGCTGAGAGACTCCTGCTGCAATTTAAACCGATCACGTCCAGACAATGGCTTTAGACCTGAGCCTGGACTTACTTCTTTCTGTCCAACTTGAGATATATTAGGAACTTTGTTTGGACTAACTTCCTTTTGTCCAACATGCGAGGTATTAGGACCAGCCGAGACTGTCGAACTAGTAGTACCCAGATTCTTTTCCTCCTCAAGGCGCTTCTCTAAAAGTTTTGCCTGCCGAAGTTCCTCCTTGGCTTCTGCCACTTTCCCTTCTCGCTTGAAGGCAACTGCTTTCTTCTTGCGAGCCAGTATATCTTGAGGAAGGGAATTTCGATCAAGCTGAGAATTAGCTTCCTGTGCAGTTTTTGACTCAGAGGTGCATGGTTTCTCATCTAATTGAGCGACCTCCTCTGGCTTCTCAGGAGTACGAGTAACTTTGCTTGCCATGTCCTCAATTGGGCTCTTTTGTGAACCAGATGGAGGAAACTGTGAGTTCTCAAGGGATGAACCAATAGCTTTATGTTCTTTCTGCTCATTTGACTCGGTTGGAACTCCGTTAGACATAGATTCTTCAATTTCAGCCAATCGCTCTTCTAACATTTTAGCCGCTTTCAGCACTTCCTTTGCCTCCTCTGCCTCTCCTTGGCGTCTCAATGTGAGTGCCTTTCGTTTCAAGCCCAGAAGTTCCCTCTGGATTTCACCTTTACTTTTGTTAGACACTCGAGCTTGGATGTTACTCGTAGCTTCCTTAGTTAGGGACAAGCTAAGATGAGAAACATTATTTTTCCCTTGAAATGACGCAGATGGAACATTAGCTTTTTCATCATCCTGCCAGCCCAAATTATTAAGCAGTGAAAGATAAGTTGGGTCATGCAGGTCTTGATCTGTAACCTCTGCCTCTTCATCTCCAGCATCAATATCTGCAACACTTTCATCCAGCTTATTCCCAGCAATGGGCTGCACGAATTTTGGTGGATTATCAATATCTTCAAGTTGCTTCTCAAGAATCTTGCCTTTATTCAATTCTTCTTCAGCCTCATCTAGCCTTCCTTCCCTTCTTAAAGCAAGAGCCTTCTTTTTAATACTAAGAAGTTCTCTCTGGATCACTGATCTACTCTTTGGTGCCACTTTGTGCTCCTTGTCTTTCCTTTCGATGTACTTTCTGACATCCTCTTCACCATTATTTAGTTGTTCTTCAGCTGAAGGAAAATGTTCCTTCTGGATTGCCACAGGATGCTGTACCTTCATGTTAGTCTCCCGAGAATCAGAACTGTCAAGCTCGCTCTCCAGTGTTTTTGCCCTCTTTAGAAATTCCATTGCCTCCTTAGTATTACCAGCCCTTTTCTGGCTAAGGGCTTCTCTTTTAAGTGACTGAATTTCACTTAGTAACACTTCCCTATCAACAGGCTGGAATTGCTTTTCTGAAACCTCAGATTCAGCGGCATCTTCAGTCCAGCCCATTGATTTCAAGGCAGCTGCTATTTCTGGGTCATACATGTCATCATCAGTTACTTCAAAACTACCATGTGTACCAAGATCATCAGCAATTCCCAGAAGGTTGTCAAAATCATAACTAGAATCTGGTTTATATCCAGTAGATAAATCATCAAATTTATCAGCATCCAGACCATGTAGTAAAGAAGAAAGCTCATCATCAGACTCTTCATCACCACCCAACAGTTCCTGCTCTTCTATTTGCTTTTCAAGAATTTTAGCCTTCTTCAATTCTTCTTTGGCTTCAGCAAGTTTCCCTTCCCGCTTCAACTCCAGAGCTTTTTTCTTATGAGCAATGACCTGTGACTTTTCAGTTCCATGAATTTTCTTTTCAGGATTGGCCTTTCCGGAAACTTCTCCAAGAAGCGCAGAAAGTTCACCCTCAAGGCTCATGGTTGCTGGCCTTTTGTCAGCAGTACGAAGATCCATATCTGACCATCCCAGTTCTCTGAGTTCAGAAGCAAGATCATCCTTCTCTTTGGTAATTTGAGGAGAGAGCTTATTTTTCCTACCAGACGCTTCGCGGTCATCAGCATCTTGCTGGGTCTCAGTGACATTACTGGAAGATAATGCCCTTTTACGATTTTTCCTTAGAGAAATCTCCAAAGCAGCAGCCTGCCTTTCAAGTTCTTTACCCCTCTTAAAAGCCCTTAGCGCTTCTTCAGGCTTACCTGAAGCCTTTAGGGTTCGGTAATTCTTTTTTTCTTCCATCGCATGCTGACGTAATTCTTCAGGAGTAGTGGATTCCATTTCAGACTGCTGCTCAGTTTGATTCACGCTTCTGTTTCCAACCTCATCTTTACTAGAATAATCTAGAACATTTGAACCAGATGCAGTGCTTGCTGACTGTTGATCAAGGGGAAAAACATCAGAGGCCGTTTCTTTTCCCAGAAGCTGATTTAAAGCTTCATCCTCACTCTTTGATGCAAGTCTTGAGCTCCCTGTGAGAGAAAACAGTTGCATTTTAAAACGAGAAGTACTCATTTGTTTCTATTTGTACTGTGCAATTAAGGTTCCAGCACAGTAACTATGACTGTGAGTATAACCAGTTATTTATACGGTACCTCCTTTCGCTCTACTTTTGTGCCCATATCGCATTTCAAAACGTGCAGCCTCTTCTAATCTTTTGCAGGGTTCACATATACGCACCGGTGAGTCACCTTGTCCGCGTAACACCATTCTCTGCTGGGTACAGCTATTGCAGAAAATGCCCCCACACCTCCGGCAATGATGCTGAAATTTCATAGGTGAGAATCACAACATAAGTGAAAGAAAACTGGACACCTACGGTATTCATATTTCCATTCAACAAAAGAGCAAGGAGACAGGAGAGTTGAGATAAAATCATCTCTATAGCCTTAGTAAGAAGGAGACAAAAGATGATACTGATAGATCAACGATACTAATGCATAAAACACCCTTATAAAAGAAAAGAACACTAAGGCAGAAAGAGAAGTTACAGCAGCAACTAAATTGTCATATGTAGAAACTTCAACATGTCACGTCTTAGAGAAATGGAATCATTTTAGGCAACCCAAAAAGCATGTCCTAAACTACTTCCTTCAGCTTCTACCTTATGCATTGCAACCTATTTTCACAGCCCAAAGAATGCCTAAAGCCCGCTAAGTTTTAGGCAGCAATATCCAAAAAGTTCAGATACTTCACAACAAAAAGCTAGATTACTAGACAAGCAATCCGCAACCACTAGTTTGGAAGCGGCAAGACAATTTCCAAGTCATAAAAAGTTCCAGGCCACAAGTGTGAACTTTGTTTGGAGAGTGAGATTAACCCTTGAGCTGAACCACTACTGAATAGTTTGAGAAGATAATCATAATTCAGATATCAGCGAGGAGGAAACTGGGGAAAAGTTATTCAATATCTGGGCTATAATTGCCATAATTTGCTCTCAAATTACATCACAAAGGAGAAGGTTCATTGTTTTTACAAGAAACAGCACCTGCTAACGTCGAATAAAGCGAAACCAAAAAGAAACAATTCAGCAATGGAATTTTAATTCTAGCTTTTCAAACAGAATTGACACATGCCTCAATTCAACTGTAGCTTGACAAATGGTTTATGAGTACGAATAGCACACAAAACAATGTCTATATTTTTGGATTACTAGCTATGAGAAAGTTATAGATAGGGANATGCGGGTTTATGCGGGTGAAGAATTTATGGGGTCATTTTGCCTTTTAAGTCTTCATCTCCAATAGGTAATGCCGATCAGACCCTGTATCCTTATTTAGTAACAACAAGCTATTTGATTCTGTTGGTGCGTGGTGTGGACGAGATGAATCAGGAACATTCGTGACTCATTTTGTCCGCTAGGAATAGTGGTAATAATTTTAAACTACTTTATAATTCAATTTGTAGATTATCGTTTCAGTTTTAAAAACTAAAACTGGATGTACTATGTTGACATTTTCCAGTGTCACTTTCAAGAGAAACTAAGAAGCTAAACATAAAAAAAAAATTGTTTTAAGATACGGTTGTGTCATACTTCTTGTTGTTGTGTTAATTAGAGGCCTTCGGTTAAGTAGAAGTGCATTGTATCCTTTAGAGGGCAAAAACAACGGCAGAAACAAAGAAGGCAAGAGAAACACATAATGTTACAGCCAATTTTGCTTTTGAAAGTTTGATCATATTAGTTTGCCATTTAATCTAATCTTCTTTGCTGAGGAAACAGACTGATTGATTGACAAGAAAGTAAAATAAGCAAACAAAATGAAAAAAAAAAAAAAAACTTATGCGGT